GTGTTAAATATAAATAGGTAGTACAAAATCATAAAACATGTTTGAGGCTCCAGAAGCTTCTCAAAGTTTTCGATCACCAGTGGGTTCATTACTTCGGAACGGGTGAGGATTCTCAGAGATAACTCTGAAAAACGGACGGATAGTGGCAACATGCCCGCCACCACTTCGAGACTCATAGTATGAGTCGAGTGCATGCATCCTAACGCGATACGAAGAAAACGATACTGGATCCGTTCCAGCTTGATGATGTGCGTTTTAGCTGCCGACTCGAAACAAAGTGGTTTATTTATGGTACTTGTTTATTAGGGTTTGGAGGGCAATAATCATTGAGGAGTTGCAGTTTTCCATGAAACGCAAGGACATATGTCAATCATAAACGACCATTCACTGAATTGCCGAAATCGGAGAAGACTACACGATTGGGAATATTTCTTGAAGGGCTGACCTGTGTTAAATATAAATAGGTAGTACAAAATCATAAAACATGTTTGAGGCTCCAGAAGCTTCTCAAAGTTTTCGATCACCAGTGGGTTCATTACTTCGGAACGGGTGAGGATTCTCAGAGATAACTCTGAAAAACGGACGGATAGTGGCAACATGCCCGCCACCACTTCGAGACTCATAGTATGAGTCGAGTGCATGCATCCTAACGCGATACGAAGAAAACGATACTGGATCCGTTCCAGCTTGATGATGTGCGTTTTAGCTGCCGACTCGAAACAAAGTGGTTTATTTATGGTACTTGTTTATTAGGGTTTGGAGGGCAATAATCATTGAGGAGTTGCAGTTTTCCATGAAACGCAAGGACATATGTCAATCATAAAACCTTTCCGCTGGGATGGTCGTTTCCTAGTCACATATAAAAATTTACTGCTCTATCAGAACTATTATTTAAAACCAGAATTCGCAACTCATTTTAACTTATTTATATAAGATGCTGAAATTAACAATTGAAAGAACAAACCTTTAACAATCCATCATAAAAGCACGCGATCATATCGAAAATATCTTTTTCTGGTTTGTCAATTTTATTGTCCCACCTTAGTAGAGACCACACATATAAGAATAATTTATACTGAAAAGAAATACACACAGATTAATGAGTATTTGATACAAGAGTACCAAAATACAATACAGATATGATTACTCTAACACTTTGACAAATAATGTATGTTTATACTGAGCAGAGCTTTCACGCTAACTTGAAAGTACTCATTAATTAGTAAAAAAGACCTATTTTGAAGAAAAGTGGCTTAACTCATTAATGATTAAACAATTTTACCCATTAATGAGTATCTGTTACCCATTAATGATTAACAATTACTCATTAATGGGTAACAGATACTCATTAATGGGTAAATAATTTACTCATTTAATGAGTTAAGTCAGTTTTCTTCAAAATGGGTCTTTTTCAACCATTAATGGGTACTTTCAAATTAGCGTGTTGAGCTGAGGAAATTCCCCACGGAAGGCTTCGAAAACTCTCGTCGAATAGTCTCTTGGCGAGGAGGCGAGTATAAGAGCGCTATCCCAGGACACAGTGGCCGTGATCTTTACCGGAAAGGACCTGAGAAATGCGTTGAGAGTGTACTGCGATCTGGAAAATGTTCCAATGTCAATCCGGATGAGGAAGGTGTACGGTATAAGGTATATCATATGGGTGGAAAGTTCGTAGAACAAATATTTTAAAATTCTTCACTTTTTAAGATATTTTCGAGCATGAATCTAAGTCAAACTTCAATGAAACCACTTTGAATCAGTGTTGGAAAAGTTCACGATATTTCACGAAGTTCACCAAGGGAAAAGTTCGCGAGTCATAGTGAGTTTTCGCGAACTTTTCCATCACTGCTTTGAATAGTCAACCTTTGGTCACTAAGTTGGTAGATAACACATTAAGCTTTGTTATGAAAGTGGTTACAGCAGTTTTCGTTGTTTCAGTCTCGAGATACAAATATTATAAGCCGTAAATTACCTTAAAAACTTAAAATTAACTTGAAGCACCTCTAAATCATTACCGATTTTGCTGAAAATTTGCACAAAAGTTCAAATTAACATGACAAACAGTAATCACCCGTTGCATTCCGTAATTGACCCGTTGCATTCCGTACATTTCTGTATATTGATTAAGCAGCGTCACGTATATATATATATATATAGGGGAATTTACGTATTCTCGTCAATCTAAGCAGCGTCCGCACTTCTATTAGCATTTTTTCAGCGTCACGCACATATATGACGTGTCTGTTTGTTTATATTCATCTGCTACTTGCTTCTCTATCCATTCCAATCGACAGAATTTTTCAAAACGGTTTGAAAGCTTTTTTTACAACGCTTCAAACTTCTCAGGTGAGTGTGACTATTGTCGGCAGTCTCTTTTTCTTCGGCAACCGTCCCATTAGAACTGCGTGTTAACCAGCTGTTCTATTATCGGCAACTCGAAATCAGCCCAATTTTGTAGTGCGTATGCTTCATTTGAAGAAAAATCGGGCATAATAGGATTTCTCGGTCGTACAAATATAATCAGATTGAAGCTGAAAGACTTAAGAATCGTTTGGATACATTCAGGGAAGGGTGTTGTTGGGAAAACATAGTTAAATTATCGTTTAAATTTTGGTTGCCGAAAACAGTCAATGTGTGCCGAAGCCGACATTTACCCTATATTAAACACCCATAACAGCAATTTATAAAATAACGAACATTTTGGATGGATGGATGGATGGATGGATCGAATGTTCCAATCGATTCGTTCTACATTTTCACATAAGAAGTTATATGTTTTATAAAAATCTAGCGGCAATGTAATTACCCTTAAATAACGTCTTTTGGCCAAAATGGGGCACAATGAGCTGATTTCAGAAGTCTACACTATACGAAACATGCTCTAATCGATTGTTTGAACTTTTTCACACAAACAATTATGATTTTATGTTTGAAATCTAGTGGCAGTTTGCAAGACTGTCATTAATAACCCTTAAATAACGAGATTTGCGGAAAACGGGCCAAATAGGCTATCCTTTTAGTGTTCACAGTATGAGATTAATTCTAATTGATTTTCTTGGCTCTTCCTACATATCATTCACTGCATTTTAAGCTGTAGATAACCGGCTGTCGGGTATAAAGCCAAATAACTTCTAATTTCACCAGAAATGAGGCATTTGCGGAAGTTTGCGAAAGACAGAACCAGCGGCATTCGATGCCTCGGATTTTTGCAGAGCATACACCTCGGTTGCTCGCTATTAAAGTATTTAAAAAAAATTCGGTTGCTCTGTGCAGTATTTTGCAACGTAACCTTTCTCACTGCATTTCCTGCACCGATCAGATCTGTCAGGGCCTTAACAGTTCCTCCCCCACCGACTGAAACCCATGCACTTGAAGCATCTCACCAGTTGCTTGGTAACCCGAGGAGTGGCTTTCAGTGGCGAGCACACTGACCACCAAACCTTAACCTTGCTCGCCTCCAACAGCTTGTCCGCTGTCGAAAGCCGTATCCCCACCGTTTGGATGCCGCCGTACACCTTCCTCATCCGGATTGACATTGGAACATTTTCCAGATCACAGTACACTCTCAACGCATTTCTCAGGTCCTTTCCGGTAAAGATCACGGCCACTGTGTCCTGGGATAGCGCTCTTATACTCGCCTCCTCACCAAGAGACTATTCGACGAGATTTTTTGAATAAATAAAATTAACTAACTGGGGCCTCCATACCTTTCACTGGGGGTTAGCCTCCATACCTTTCACGTCAAAGTCACGAGTTCAAATCTCACCCCCGGACAAGTCACGAATGACCTAAGAGCGTTGAAGTGACAATAATAAAAAAAAACTAACTAACAAACTCATCGTTAATTTTAATGTTTTTCTTCGACAGAATGGAGATCAACATTCTGTTGGGTGGGGGACCTTCCATCAGAATAGAGCTGAGCGAATCGAGTCAGTTCAACGAAAATTCTTTCGCTACGCATTTTGACGATTACCCTGGTGTGACCCTTTAAAAGCGAAAAATTTTCTGCCCCCCATGCATCTAATTAAAATCACAATTAGTAAGCAAGGGGGTGCTACCCAACATATCGGCACCGAGGTTATTTCAGAATTCAAATTAGTAAGACTAAATAAGGGTTAATTTAAATTCCGACAACAGGAATCCCCCGAACAACGGTGAGTGGCGCAGCCGACCCAAAACTATTTCTCGAGTGTCCTCCAACCGATTAAGATGATTTTTTTGTAAGTGACTAGTATGCTACTGGCACTAATGACAAAAAAAAAATATCGGCTCAATTGGTTGGATGACAGCAGATAAATAGCAGTGGGTGAACTGCACCACCCACCGCACATTGGAGGGATTCCTGTAAATACATCCACTCCATTGGCGAATAAAATCAGTTTTTTTAATTAGTATTTTTTACACTTTCCCCCCACTGCTCTGGTAGTTTTTAAGTGTTCAACAAAGGACAGAATAAACTTTACTAACCCTTAGAAAATTCTGCAAATACTTTATGGTAAAACAATAAGATTTATTTTCGGAACTATTTTTAAAAGTCTGCAATTATTGTTGCATTTATTTATTTTTTATTGTTTTTTAATATTTTTCCTATCTTATTTTGAGTTATACAAAACGATTTGTCAACAACTTATTCTCAGCTGGCGATAAAATCAACAATTTTTGAGTGAATATATTTTTGACCTTGACACTGCCGGATATCAGTATGTAACTTCGTCCTTTTATGCTCTCAAATTTAAAATTTCAAAGCACTTTAGGTTTTTAGGAATTGTTTCAAAACTGTTGAAATTTTGGATTATATATATTTATGACTTGTACTATACATATGCCGTTTAGAATAAAATGCGCTCTAGTCAAAACGGTTTACTTATCTATAGAAGATTCATGTTGCCACGGTTCGAAAGTTCATGCAAAGCTTTGATTGTAGAGATTCGTGTCTGATTATATCTATTTCGTTTGGAATTGCTTTACATTGGAAATTATGAATGGCTTAGCAAGATATGTGAACTGTTGACAGCGACGGTCCACAAACCACCTTGATTTTTTTTTATGGATGATAGAACCGTGGACAACCATCCAAAAATATGTCATTCCTATAAACTAATCGTGGTTAGTAGATAGCCGCCCGCAGTTAACTTTAATGTTTCAGATCATAAATTATCCTTCTGAATTTCAATAGTTTTATTTCGCACTGTACATTCTTGATTCCATGAATTTGATTTTAATCCAGTGTTTGATAAAGCAGATGAGTTTCTTCTTGAGGCAGATAACGAAGCCATGCGTCCTAAGGCTCGAATTGCATTTCCCGTTTTCTGAAAACAATTAAAAAAAAGATAAGTAAGGAATAAATCTTATTCAAACGTTACGTCATATAGAAACCATACAAAAAATGTAATAAAACAATCCAACGTGTGGGAGTCACGAATGTCACAATGTGGTTCTAAGAACGTTTAAAGATGTTTTAAAATTTGAATCTTCCGCGACGTAGTTGATTATTTCACAAGAGAAATATAAAAATATTCATAGCTCTATATAACAATATTCATAGTTCCATAGTTCCAAGAGATAAATAAAAATATTCATAGTTGAGTCTAAATTGCGCTGAAAAGTTTAATGATGCTACTAGGGGTGATCAATTTATGAAAAAGATATTCAAAACTCATGATTCAACGGTTTAAAAAAAATGAAATCTTACTAAGGGGGTCAACTAAAAACCTTCAGTGTCGTTCCGGTGGGAAGATGGGAGAGGAAGATTCTTATAATCACTCAAAAACTCTTACATAATGTAATGGATGACCCTGTAATATCTTACCTGTTTCGGTTCAACTATGTAAAGGTATTCGATAAAAATATTACTGCAGATTTTGAAAGTGTGATAAATGTCATATAAGAATTGAGCAATAGTTTATGATGTGAGTAGCTCAAAATGATTTGGTGATCGACTATGTTGCGTGACATTACAACATTTTGCGCTTCTCAACTATATTACTAAACAACTACTTATCAAAATGTTTTGAGTAGTAATCCTATATATAGAGATTCGCGCAAGCGGCCATCAATTGAGCAGTGATAACTGTCAAAACGTGAGTCAAACGAACATTCTTATTAGAAATATTCATAGGATTCCTTATTGATCTGAAAATTATTGTAAGGAGTAAAATAAATTCAAACAAAAAATTTATAAATAAATAAAAAATATTGTAGCAGTAAAATGCCTATGTTTACATAAAAGAGTTTTATGCATAATTATCCATTATATAATAAACTGTGAATAGATAATTTTAAAATATTTTTCAGTTCGGTTTCGGTGTCTTCGGTGCACTTATTGCTTGTATCATAAGGAATGAGTGCACCGAACACACCAAGACGGTTTGGATGAAACTTGTACTTTTATCCAAGGTTGCAAAGACTCATTTCAGCTAAAATAATGTTTTTCGGAATAATAAAACCAAAAGATGGTATGATGGCATGTTTTACTTGTAACTTACAAGAAGAGGTTACAAAGTATGCGTTGGAAACATAAAACCTGTAAATTTTGCTTTCTATGAGTCACAATCAGCGATTTGCTGATCGCTGAGTGAGTGAGTTTGTGAAAAATCGCTGACTGTGACTCTCATGAAGTGAAATAAACAGGTTTAATATGTCAAACACATTCTTTGCAACCTCTTCTTGTATCCTACCAATTCAAAATTTGATCATGGCATCTAATTATTTCATAATTTAGAAAAACATTGTTTTAGCTAAAATGAGTCTTTGCAACCTTGCTTTTATCATCCTTTTTAATAAGTGAAAACGCGCTTATTTGTCGAGCTTGGTGTGAAGTTCTCTATAAAACTGAACGCAATATTTGTGTTGTTTCCCAGCAATATTGCTTGATTCTTTCGCAAATTACAATTTTGTGTGTTCGAAGGGGTACTGGAAGAATCGTTAAATTTTAACTAGAGAGATTAATAGTATTAAACTATCTATTTTACGAGTGATTAGTTGGAAATTTAACTGTATTTAACGTTAGCATTATATAATAAAAAGTAATGAAAAAGCCCCAACACTGCACAAACGTACCTTCCACTATGGAAAAATCCAACGGTAGTCCGTAAAAGTAAACAAAATAGTTCACCAGTTCACTGAATTTAAAAAAAAAATAATTAAACACTTAGCTCTTATCGAAGATAACGATATAGTCACGCACAAAGCTGGAACACTGCGCTCTGCGGAAGGTGTTGGCAGCTTTTGTAAACAAATTGAATCACAACTCAAATCGTCTGATAGTATTTCCGCGAATCTCTGTATATAGGATTACTAGTTTTGAGCTACACAAATCAAAAAAATTTGATCGATTGTTATAGGAAATCTTGACACACTTTTCAAATCTGCAATATTATTTAGGAGTTATTCCTTTTTCTTTTTTTTTAGTTACAGCACAAAAAATATCGTAAAAACAGACAGAAACCGTTGTAACGTCACGAATAATGTGTCAAAAGTATAATATGAAAATATGTTTGTACTAAATGACTCTGTCCTCAGAAACCAAATAAAAACTAGTTCATTCGAATTTGAGACGTAGTCAAGTGTGGCGGCAAGAAGTTAAGAAGAAAGACTTAGTACCCCTTTGATGTGTCTGAATCAGAGCTGGTAAATATCACGGCCGCCACAATGAGAAAACAGGTCCTCTCACTATCACGAGACGAAACTACCTATCATTTGCTTTCTTGTCATTTTCCAATGATCCAGCACTCATGAGAATAATTCTTATGCGGTTTTGACATCAACATTGCTAACTGCTTTAAATGAATTTAAGCAAGCAACCGTATGTAATCGGTAGAGTGAATATATTCTTAATATTTTCTCGGTACAAGTAGCTTTAATAGCAATAAATGGGCTAGTAATTACGATGATCGCAAAACTGTCACGTTCTGTAATGACAAAAAAATTCGATGAGATTTTGAAGAAAATCTCTATTATCGTTTTCCCATCTGATGATAGTGACAGAAGTATCTCTGTAAATATCACGTGAGATCTTTCATTGAAAATGACATTTGCCAGCCCTGATCTGAAATTGATATTTTGTTGCAATTGTTATACACCAAACCCCGTTTTAATACGGCTACATATTTCAAATTTTCTTTTTCTGTGGTTAAAAGTGGTTCGTAAATGTATGTAGGTACCATGTTTTCCTTTGATTTTTTGACACCAATTATATCATGCTTGGTTTTAGTTGAAGATCGTAAAAAAGAAAAATAAGTCCGCGTTAAAAAAAAAGGTTGAGTGTAATGGTATAAAGGTACCGAGAAACATAAAATTACGCACCTGCCATTTTCTTCTAATGATAAACTTTTTCAGTTTGTGTGTGCAAATTTTCGAGTTTGCAAGCGTTTCCGAATCTAGCGATAACCATTTCGTCTGTAAACATAGTGCAGCTGAAAGTCGATCTTCTTTCCGATAAAGAAGTAATCCAGATATAAAGTCTTTAGCTTCTTCCGAGACTATATTAAATGCATCGTCATCAAAATCGTATTCCGCTCTTGTTATGTTGTTGAATGTATCCACATCAGTTTCTCCCATGAAGGGAGATAAACCAGACAACAAAACGTAACAAATTACTCCAATGCTCCACATGTCGGATTGCAGGCCGATAGGCTCATAGTTGATGATTTCAGGAGGAACGAATTCTGGTGTACCTAACAGTACCCTTACTGATGTGTTATGAGACAGTTGCTGGGCTAATCCAAAATCGATTATTTTGATCTGAAATTCATAAAAATACAATTGAGATAAACCAAACAGAATTTACACTATTTTATTCAATCAATATCATAACATGTTAAACTATTCAAGCTTATTGAGCTGCCCCTATTTGCCACGCTATCATATATTTAAATTAAAAATGTGCCAATTTTGATCAAACATTAATTAACACCACCACCTACTTCCATAAATTCTCGTGCCCATTTAATCATATATTATCAAACGTTCGAGGTATGAGGACTAAAGTGAACGCCTTATTCCAGCGCTGCCCAACGTGCGGCCCACGGGCTGAACGTGGTCGCTGTATATCAGCAATGCACAGTGGTCTGACAGCAAAAACAACAAGATCGTTAGAGATTTGAGTGGGAAAAAATGTTTAAAAAAATTTAGTGTCTCGGGAAAGTTTCTTAAAAATTAAAGATCTTTCTTTTTGAGCTTTTTTTTATGATAAATCCTGTATAAGTGAGATGAAAAATTCATTATTTCCAAATATCATTATAATGCATTGGTGTCAAAGCAAAGATGTAGAACATATAATTACAAGAATGTTTGCTCTAGATGCTATCTTTCTATGTGCTTGCTTAAATTAGTATTTTTTATATATATCCTTTAAAATCAGTTTATGAGGTTTTATTATCATAACTTTCTTTGTGGTCGTTAAATTTGTTTGTCCTACAAAGTTGTACAGAAATTAAAAATAAACTGCTTTGTAGAACATAGTATGTCTCAATATTTGCTTATTTTTAAAATATATCGCTTTTTTTTAATCAAAAATAACCCATTTTGGAGTAAAAACTAATCGAACGCCGACAGATGGCTACTAAATGATAAATACTACTTAATCCAGATGGTTTCATTAGTATCTAGTTGTATCCAACGACAGGTAATAGAATATTTTAAAAATAAATAGGTTAGGGTGTTTGATTTGGAAAGAAAAATATTAGCAATCTTATAGGTCACCCTCCTTGATTCATAGCCCCAAAATGTGAGTCTGAGCAAAACATAGAAAAGATTGATGAACATTTAGAGATCGCACAAATAGTTAAAATTTATTTGTACATTTTTATGAGCTACTATGGGATATTTTTGGATTTTATTACTATCAGTCTATCTTTTGTTCAAGTAGCCAGAATGCCGTCAAAATTAAATATATGTTTGTCATGAGAACGATGAATAATTGCTGTAATGAAATTGTTGTTGTTGTGAGGCACGTATTCGATTTTCAATTAACTGTATTTATCCTTGTTTCACATTTTTATCTTTCTTTAATTTCAACCAAACTGACCAAACAACTACAGGCTTATTGGTCTTTGTCATCACATCATAACTGTTAGAACCATAGTTAGAGCGATATTTGAGAAAAAGGACATTCGACATTTTTTAGTCATTAAGTTCAATAAAATGTCAAAAACTACCCCATAAAAACAGATAAATGTGCCATGCCATTACTTAAGTTGCAATACTCAATAAAAAAAAATGTGCAGGTGCGATAAATATGTAAAATTTCACCACCTAATTTTAAAAATATTCTCATAATCAATAAGAAAGATAAAAATTTCTTGAAAAGTTATAAAACATACCATAGAAAATATTGAAATGTTCCATAAACAATATGAAATGTGCTGATCATAAAGATTAAATGTTCCATAGCCTTCAACAATTTTTATAGTTTTATGGTGCATTTCATATTTTTTGGGAGAATTTCATTTTTTTGGAAACATTAAACGTGCCATAAAAACAGATATAATGTTCCATTGAAATTGCCAATCGTTTATGGAACATTTCCGCTTTTCATTGGTATATTTTATATTTTTTATTGGCGCTCAGACTCTGCTCGGGAAAGCTTAGGCTTTGAGAAACCTAACTGAAATATCTTCGTTGTACCAGTCAGCTCATGCCCATATATCGCTCACTTTTGAAAAAAAATAACTGTTTTTCGGATCAACTACAATAAATTTACATTTGTATACAACTGAATAATAATAAAAACCCTTAACTTTCATTGATTACCCGGTGTTGCACTAGACTGGCCTACAAAAATAAAAGTTCTAATTTTCCACGGGCCAACCCCATGTGCCTTAAGGTGAGAAAACCATTATCTGCAAGTTTCAGCTCATTTGGTTCTAAAATGAGCTGGCGCTTTTAGTTTGAATTTGTTATGGGAAATTAGGATAAAATAAAAATGACACACCTACACTCTATCTATCATAAAAAAGTTTCCTTATTCTCGATTTGACTCAGATTTTCAAAACTAGTAGTTCAATTAATGAGTAACAACTTTGTTGAAGATTGCATCATGAATCCAATTAGTTTTATTGAGATATTCGCTTTTGAATGTATATGAGCATTTTGTATATGAAAATTTCAAAGAAATCTGCTATATGAACATTAAACATAAATCACCAGCCCGTGTAACGTCAAAATGAGCTGAAACATTCAGATAGTTGTGATCGCATCAAAAGACACGAGCCGGGATGTTGGCCTGTGGAAAGTGTGAACTTATATTTTTAGTGGTATCTAGTTGATACGTTGCATAAACTGCCTGTATTTTGCTGCAATTTACTAGCAGAATGCACTTTATCAATTAATATCTCCATAATACTAACATGAATCGTACAATTAACTAGAACCAAATAAAAATGAAATGAGCAGTAATTGGTACATATAACTGAATTAAGTTGACTCATTCTTTAAAACAATAGTAAATAAAAGCAATGACTGATAAAAGCTTTTGAACACTCCAACTGTAAATGCTCGAACGTTTATTTTTCTCACTTGGAGTTAACTCCAGTTATTTGTCAGATAAAAGCTACTAAACATTTCACCATCAGCCTTATCATCCTTCGTATTCGTGCGGTTAGCAGTGTCACCGTCGTTAGGGCGTAATGTGAGCGCCATGAAGGGAGAGTTCGATTCCAGCTCCAGCCGATGGAACTATTCGCAACCCGATAATTTCCATACTGGTCTACTGGGTGTTGTGTACAAGCTCTGGTTAAAGTCGGTGTCAATTGGGTGTTGTGTACAAGCTCTGGTTAAAGTCGGTGTCAATTGTCTTTTTTTCTACCGTCTTTTAAAAGTGTTCGAAAGTTCATTATATCTTTTATAAATTGAAACTGTTGTCCTTTTAAATTCCATTCGACCTTTTGTTCATTCGACTTTTTTTTTCATTTGAACCTTTTCCATTTCAAGCTTTTGTCCATTCGACGTTATGCTTATTTTGACCTTTTGTCCATTTCAACCCTTTTCCTGAGACCTTTTTCATTCGAGCTTTTGCCCATTTGACTTTATCCTATTCGACCTTTCGTCCATTTGTTTTTTTGGCCTTCAGCCTTTTGTCTATTAAACTTTTGTCCTTCAACCTTTTATCCTTCGATCTTTTGCCTTTCGACCTTTTGTCCTTAAGGTCAATATTAACCTTTTGAAAAAAATATCTTTAATAAAAAAAACTAACTAAGAAAGCTTTAAAATAGAAGGCGAAGTCCGCATAACTCTCAAGATGCAAATGTGGTAGAGAATTTTCAATTGTTTTGATCGATGCACATCAATTTAAAATGATTAAAGATTAAATATATTTTTAAGGCTATATTGTCTTTTTGACCTTTTCAGCCATCTGTTCTTTCGAGTTTTTATTTTTCGACTTTTTGCCATAAATTCGAATCCAACCCGGGGCTTTACGACCAAAAGGGGTATTTGTTATCATTGATTAGGTATGCTTACCTGGTGACTGTTTCTAGTGCTGCACATGATGTTTTCAGGTTTTAGATCTAAGTGAACAACTAATAAATTGTGCATATAATTGACTCCTTCGCATATTTGGCGCATGAACATAACGCAATCTTTCTCAGTAAGAGTAAAATCATCTGCTACTACTCTTTCAAACAGTTCTCCACCACTAATGTACTCTATTACCATGATGGTCTCACGAGATGCTTCGAAGTACTGTATCAACTGCAACAACTTGGGATGCTGTAAAGATCGCATAATGGCAATTTCCTCTTGCACTTTTTTTTTATCGGTAGTTTTGATACACTTAACCATTTTTGCTGCACGTATATCACCTGTTTGTCTCTGACGGACTTTATGCACAACTCCAAATCTACCTCGACCAAGTTCTTCCAATGATTCGTACAATGATGTAAACTCCTCACCACGATGAACCTCGTAGTTTGTCCAGCAATTTTTTTCTTCTTTGAATGTATCATACTGTGGAAATGTAACATTATCGCTTGGTGAACTTGGATCACTGTACCCATACGTATTCTTTGCTCTTATTCTAATACTGTAGGATTTATTAGGTATCAAATTTTTAACCATGTAAGACAGAGAATCAAATACGATTGCCAGCACGTTCCATTCATCATCCATGCATTTAATCTCCAATCTGAAAGAAACATACTTTTGTAAATACTTACTATTTTAGACTTTAAAGCAATTGTTTCAGATGCACAGCAAAAATTTTGTAAATTTCCAACTGATGTAATTCCTAGCCTTAATTAAAACATACAGCTATAAATCATTATTTTTCATGCAGCATTTAAAAATCCATTTATTTTTAATTAATTTTACGTTCATCTGTATGTTTACACGGCAGTAGAAAATTCAATCAATATTTATGTATTTTTCAATTTGATATAAATTAACATGCAGGAGTAAATTTCAGTTTATATTTATTGAATAACATATTTAAACGTTTTATTTTAAATTGTGCTAAGAGTTTGATTGATATAAGTCAGGCCTGTCCAAAGTTTTCAAACCGCTGGGAAAATTCTAGAATACATATCAGCTGCGTAACTACTAAGATTGACTGTCCTGCCGTGTGTTTTTAGTCAGATGAGTAGAACGGCGAACCAGCGTCTAGAATAAGGTTCTAAAAGAAGATTATAAAGAAGCTTCTAAAAGACAAAGCTACAGAAATTAATTGTTTGTACAGTTAACTCCATACTGCAGGGACTGTCGTACAGTGGGGAGAGAGCAGACATATTATTTATGATATTTTTTTTTTATATATTTTCACATAATCTTCATTAATTTCTATTGGTAGATCCGAGTTTTCAGCCCAATCGGCAGAGAAATGTATTTTTGGTATAATTTCAGAGTACCAAAAAATTGCTAGCCAAATCACATTTTCTATGTACGTATTTCATGTCCTGCTTTAAAATGTATTTATAGTTTTTATATTTCTTTTAATTTTGCATCCAAAACAAAATTAAAAATATTTCAAGGATTTTCACCTTATTTCCGATCGATAAAATTTAATTGAAAAGGTTTTTAGATTGTGAGATTAGATTGATTATTTTTCTTAACCGTCCATTTTCAAGCATGAATCACAAAAAAAAACATCCGGTAATTCGGCATTCGGTAATCAAGTTTGTAATAAAAAGGTCGCATGCTGAATTTTATTTTAAATCACATTTTAGTCAGTTCTTTGGGATTACCTGTTCCAGGATCATTCCCGAATTTGACAAATTTGGTTAAAATTTTTACAATGCCATCCAGAATATTGTCCGGGTTTTTTTAGGAGTTGCTGTGCATCGAATTAAAAATCAAATTTAATTAGGAAGGTTCATTTTTGAAATGTGTTTGTGAAATGTGGTCGAAGAAGTCTTGATTCCGATTGAGTAAGGGAGAGACCAAATAAGGTAGAATTTAACATTATTTTTCAGGCATTGATTTTGCAAAATAAGAGAATATACCAAAAAGCAAAGCACACATGATCAGATGTATGTTAGACAATTTGCAAGAAAATCTACAACAATCGGTGGGATTTGAGCCTACAAATAGCTTTTTAATATTTTCACCCTCCCCATGAACATGGAGGTTGACGGTACTGAAGCAAAGGGTTATGTTTAATTTCTTTATATTTGCAACGATGATGATTTCCTTTAGTGACACATATCACCTTCTTAATGCTTCAGTATCCTTGATGAATTCGGTTGCTTTATGCAGACTGAGCAATTCTGATTATAGTATCAGATTTGTTCTGTATTCAGAGGAACTGGAGAGGGCTTATTAGAAACTTCTCACCAATGAAGTAATGATCTTCTAGTAAATTTTGCATATAATTTTATTCATATTTTATTTTATTTAAGCATATTATCCATTAGCATTAGCATAAGATACAAAAGATTTAATATAACTTGCTCGTTTTTGCGTAAAATAAATAATATTTATTTTACTTTTACTTGATCTGAAATTTTCCCAGTTTGGTTAGAAAATTCGGAGCTAACGCATGTCCACAGGCCTAATAGAAAGATAGGCAGAAAAAGTGTACCATGAAGAATGGTTGCATGCAGGAATGCTTCCACTCACTTGGTATAGATGAGTGATTTTCGGAGTTTTGAATTCGTTAGATGTTGTAATGGAGATTTGTGTTGTTGGATGTGGGAGGAGATTGACGCATAGAACCTGTCAATTTCGCTTTCAGAGTGTCGCAGTCATCGGTTTTATGATTCGTGAGCGCTAGCGATTCGTACAATCGTTGTTTGGCGGGTTTTGTGAGTCGGACACTTGCTTTTTGGCCTCTTTTTGTTTCTAACATGTGCAGAGTATCATTATAGCATCTAATGGTTTTGAGATTTCTGGTTGCGTGAAATAAATTTGTGAGAATATTTTTTTGAGATTATAGTAGTCACGTTTTGTTTGTAGTTTATATTTTATTTCTTCTATGTAATGATCGTAAATAAAAGTTATTCAATAATAGATAGTTCATCCATATATTCTTACTTTGACGCGAAGCGCTGTGGATTATGAGATGCTCGATGACCCTGGAGGGATCGATTTTGCTTACTGAGCAGAAAATCATGGATTTAACCCCAAGCTCTTCAGCACAATCATTTGTATATTTGATATTGAACATTAACCCCGGAAACTATTTGCATATCAAGCGAAAACGTAGTGTATTGTCGCGAAGCGTTATGGTTCTGAGATGCTCGATGACCCTGCAGGGATCGTTTTTGCTTACTGAGCAGAAAATCAGGGGTTTAATCCCAAGCTCTCCGTCATGACTCTCAAAATTCATGATCACTAAACAAAATGAATATGTTCTTTCGATAGCCGGCTATCGAGAGATTAAATAAACAACAGATAAACAATACATACTTTTGGTTGCATCGCCACCTTGAGTTGAATCCTAACCGAATACCCTACCCAACCCTCCAACTCCGTAGCACTTATGAGGGTGTCGCTCACTCGATGGCCTCTCGTTAAGTAAGTACTATATCAACATTTCCTTCCCTATCCCTAGTTATGGTAAAGATGGGCGTGGCCGAGAATAGCGACAGTCATGCTTCTGCTACTCTTGTTTGGATTGGAACCAGTGTTTACTCCCCAGCATTATTCCTGAAAGTAGTCTAACTGAGAATTCCAAGAGACGTGAGTGTCGCTAGTATCCAATCTACGAAGTATATCATAACAACGCAAACGCTAAAAAATATCTTTTTTAATATTTTCATAGGGGAAATCACGGCTTCGGCATGACAGACTATTTTCGGCAACCTAAATTGAAACGCTAATTTCACAGGATTTTCTTATGAAAACACTTCGCTGAATGCAGTCCAACGATTCTTTAGGCTTTCAGCTTCAATTTTATTATAATTTTTACCACTGAGAAAAAGCAATCTAGCAGGGTTTTCTTGAAATGAAACACACGCACTACAAAATGCTGCTGATTTCTAGTTGCCGATGAAAGCACAGCTGTTTAACACGCAGCTCAAATAGTAAGGTTGCCGAATAAAAAGATGTTGCCTACAATAGTCGCTCTCACTAGAGAAGATTGGAGCATTGTAAAAGCGTTTCAAAACAGTTTTTGACAATTCTTTCGACTGAAATTGTTAGAGCAGCTGGCAGCAAAAGATTGTAAACAAACCAATACTGCATATGTGTGCGTTCCTTAGAGAAAAAGGCTATAGAAAGATGGTTGCTGCTTAGGTTGCCGAGAATACATAAATTCCCCTACATAGTTTTATTTGGAATCCGGTTTATTAAAAAAATAAGTTCTCATCTCAGAATTTCAGCCACGTCCTTTGTGATTCCTCATTGATTCAACAGCCGATTTAATTCCAAATTCACATAACTTACCACCTCACAACACAATGTATACTTACAGAAATCCCGAGATCACACATCCTCCATCATAAGGTGGTCCACACCATGTAACAATCATGCCTTGAGAATCCAGCGTAATACTTGGTTTTCCACTAGGTGGATCAGGAGGGCCCTCAACGCTTACAGATGCAGACATTATGTCACTTCCGTAATTATTTATTATAAACGCGGCATATTTTCCACTTTGGTTAGCATTGATTCCATCTATTGTAAGAATAGAATGTCCAGGTTTTGTAGTAATCGATGCATTGGTATCCTCAATTGGACGACCCTAAAATTAGATCATTATTTTTAATAACTTTGTGATATCACTTCTAGAATTTATGTATTACCGCACGCATCCATATAACTTGGGGCTCCGGGTAACCATTAAATAAAACTTCGAGTCTAAGTTTAGTTCCAGTAAAAACTCTAAAATTCTTCATTATATTTAAAAAATATGGCTCTTGTACTACAGTTGAATCTGGCAGTAATCTCTTATTCGATATACATGGCATAACAGTTAACATCGTGAATGCCGTAGTAGTCATGGTATGATTCTGGATAGTAACCATGCATTGTATTTCTCCGCAATGATTGTAATTAACATTATTTATAAAAAAAAAGTGAAGACCATCCGCGTTCGTTTTCATCTAAAAAAAAATACATATTCTGGGTTAATAAAACTAGAACTTCATGATGCATGATGCAGTTGATTGTAATGCTATAGGTAAAAATAGTATCTTTCTCAAACGCTTGCCTCATCCCGGACAAGCCACGGATGACCCAAGATGGTATTAATGTGACGATAAATGTTAAAAGGACTATAATAATTCAAAAATAAAAAAAACCTAAAAAAATCTTGTTTCCTACTTTTACATTCTAGCGTCTTCGACAAGATTGTTTATCAACAAAACAAATGAACAACTCGTAGCTTTTTAAAGGGTTTTAACAGGGCTACGGTCATTTACTTCTCATAGCTTTATGAAAATATGAAAATTTATGAATTTTTTTTTTTTTATATCAAAGAAATCGGACACAGTATGCTGTAGAATGTTTACGTCTACAGATGTTAAACAAATAAAGTACACTATGGGTTTTAGGTGATGGCAATTATTTCATGATTATAACATTTAATTAAACTTACCTGAAAGTTCTTATTATTTTTTTCGATTATAGAGCCACAAATTTTCCATTCAATGTTACAATTCGGTGGAGTAACATGTGCACAAATAATCACCGCTGATCCAAGCTCTGCCACATACGATTGCGGATAAAGCATTATTTGTGGCAACGATTTGCTTTCACAAATTGATTCCTCAAATTTGACACAGCATTGTGATTTACAGGAACCTCCAACAGAAGTGATGATACATTTATAAACTCCAGAGTCTAACAGGAATGGATCAATGATACGAAGAGACAACACACCTTGTCCATGATCAGTATACCTAAGACATACAAAATTATACATACAACAAATAAAATTTTAGAGCATTTCGGAACATTTCTGTTTTTTAGTTGACTCAGTTTAGTTTATTTAACAAAAAATGAGCGGAAACCTATTTTCAAATGATATCACTAAAAATTAGCTTAGCAAATTAATGTATCCCAAGAATATGTTTTATATGAAATTATTCGCTGCTATTCGGCTCTGAAGCGTCTTTCGTAGACATTTGAACTTATTGGAAAAAAAAATTAGAAGATGGTACCGAAAAAAATATGAAAAAATAAGTATACAGAATGTCCACCTTGTATAAGGACTTTTTTTTTATCGAAGACAACATATCAAGAAGACTGGCAACTTTGCCTGAATCTGAGCAACAGACACAGTAGCGCTGCGCTCGAGCGAAGGTGAAAGCAACGCATAGAAAAATACACAAATACACAAACCTTTCTTCTGAGGATGGAACCTTTGTATCCAATTCGTTTGGAGCATTTGTGCGCGATTGTGCCTGTCTCATACCGGTCGTTTGAGAAAATGGAAGAATTGCCAGTCTTCTTGATGTGATGTGTTGTCTTCACTTTTATGCTAAATTTACATTAAACGAAATGTGAAGTGTATTTGATTCAAAATGGGTGATGTCATTGCATATATGATTTAAACATTAGAACCAATTATTGGAGCTCAAGTTCCAAAATTGGGACACTTACTCTATATTATGCATACTTTTTAACTTACTCCTCCAAACCTGCCGACGACAAATTTTCTCTTTTCTCAAAACAGTAAAAGGAATCTTACAACGAAAATTGTCGTCCTTTGGTAATGCTTTTAAAATAAATTTACCCGTTATGTGTGACGGGGTAACTGGCAACCCAGATCCGATTTGAATAAAATGGTGGAGAAAAAAGCAAAAAATTCCATACGCTAATAAGGGTTGAACCCCTCAACCAAAAGAATAGATTTGCTGACGTTTTAATAAATATAATGGATTATCGAAATTCCTAACACCATACATACCTGAACTCATGGCAATCCTCAATTACTACATCATTGCGAAGCCAAACATAAGTAAAGGCTGTATTGCATTCGACTCTAACCAGAAGATCTGTTTCGTATCCTTCAAATGATGTAACTAAAGGTGGTAAATGCTCAACAATAATTGGAGGTAACATGTTCGAATCTTTATTTGTGGAAACCTGCGCAACCATTCCTGTAGTTTTTCCGGACATGCTTTGTAATATGCAGCAATAATTTGTCATACCGAATGTATTGTATTCTTGAATAATAATTACATAATGGTTGTGCACTATAACGTGTGTTATTTCGTCTTCATCCAGCATTTTTCCATTTGAATAAACTTTCAACGATGTAACTGATGAAGATCGATATTGTCCCGCTAGTACAATCATGTCCGATCCAGTGGAATGTTTCATTAATTGGCGCTTAACTCTTATTGGCGCATTATCAGCGTTGGTCGAAATACTACAACCTTGTGAACCTACTGCTACTTTCAATTGTATAGATGCTTCGACGCGTCCATGATCATTTTCCACTGTGATTCTATAAAATCCTGAGTCTGCTGATGAAACGTTTGTAATTTTCAAACATTTGGTGTTGGATGATTCAGTGAGCACTATGCGATGTGAAGGAATGCTGATAATTCCATTTTTATCCCACACAGACCAGCAGCTTAATTGACTGTGCACTGTGCACTTAAAGCTCACTGAGCCTCCTTCTTTGATAACTTGATCTTGTGGAATGGAATGAAATACTGGTGCTAAGCATTTCTGGTCTCTAGACAGCATCTTAATACTGATAAGATTGTTCAATAGAATACGTTATGGTGGATGGAAATTAACTCTGAAAAAAAAAGGTTTATGTTACATCAGATATTAAAGAATACATCGAAGTTCAGGGTCGAGAAGTTTGACATGTGGATTGCTCTACACTCAAAATAATTGTCACGTCAAAGCTACGTGAAAACAAATGTGGATTTTTTCCATCGCACTTTTCACGTAACACTTACGTGATTTTCTTGTAGCGAAGAACGTATCAATTCCCACCCTTTCAACTGGAGTTTCACGTAAATATTACGTTATTTTTTAGTATTATCTACGAAATCTTTCAGTAAATTTTCAATGTAATTGTGATACAATTTATGTTAAAATCTAATCAAAAGTAATAACATTTTTGATGAATTTTGTCTTCTTTATAAGAATTGCAGTGATTTAAAGTAAAGTAAATGTTGTTATTATTGTATTGATTTTTACATAGCAATTAATTCAAGCATTAAATGATATATAATGTTTACGCAATTATTGAACTGAACAGAATCAGGATTAAAAAAGCCGTTAATTTGTCCAATGTTTATTATTATAATGACAATGAATACTTATTGACTATTTCACAGTGGTTTAGAATTATCTGTATTAAACCTTTTTTTTTGACACGGAAGAAGTAATGTACCGTCCAAAATCTGCAACAAATGACCGGAGATCTCTAAATCACCTAACAGCTCTTGCAGTGCGTTTTGTACGGTGGCCATAATGATTATTTTTTCTTACGTGTGAAACACGTAGAAAGTACGTGAAAATAGAACTGTCAGTATTGGCAGGATGATGTTCCCAACGTACGTGATTTTCACGTAAATGTTATCGGTTAATAACCCTAATAAAAAATAACCATAAACGAACGATAACCCAAATCATTGAACTATTCCATAAATGGTTTGGATACCCAGAACACGTCGTTAAGCAAATTAACCATACAATTTTTATTAGGGAAGGTGGATGTGAAATGTGTTTCAAATAAAAATCAGATGCTAACAACTAAATTCTACTTGTGTCAGGTAGCCTCACAACAAACAATACTTTTTTAGATCTACGTGATTTTTCACGTAACTTTGACGTGACAATTATTTTGAGTGTACATTAGGAACAGTATACACTCAATGATCGGTAACTGTGAATTGAACTGAATATATTATCGTTTCAGTAGAAAACCGGAAAATCCCACACGCGCCAATTGAATTTACTCTCGTTCTGTACGTTAAACATAACGTCGGACATAGTGCGCTGTATTCACACAATGATGCGCTATTCAGCGCACTATGTCCGACGTTATGTTTAACGTACAGAACGAGGGTAAAATCGAATGTCGCGTGTGGGATTTTCCGATGTCCAACTTGAACGACAATATTATGCATCTTGGCGATGTTATTGCTAACGGATTATTTTGTATGGATAGCTGTCATAATGACTTTTTGATAATTCAGTGCCAACATTTCAAAGGGGCGTAATTGCTTTAGCGTGACTGCTTTCTCACCCCAATGCGTCTGGGTTCAATCCCAGCCGAGGTCGGTGGGATTTTTCTGAGGCATAAAAATCTCTGGTCACGTCTTCCTTCGGAAGGGAAGTAAAGCCGTTGGTCCCGGCCCATATGTGTGTTTAAATGGGTGCGATATCCTACGCAGGTGTGGAAGCTGCCTTCCTGCACATTCGATTGCCGTCAATGGATGGCAATCGATGTCCGTCGGTGATTGGCACTAGATTGCGGAACAGAGACCGACGTTAAATAAAGGAAAGAAGAAGAAGAATAAGAAGTAATTGCTTTTGTAAACAATGACTTTACCCGTAAATTTCTCGCGAATGAAATCTTACCTTTCCAAAATAACAATGCTAGCTGGTAAAGAAACATTCCTCTACCTGCTGGTGTCATTATTTTTCATGAGTTAGCTTTTATTCGCGAGAAATCGACGGCTAAAGCCATTGTTTACAAATACAATTACGCCCCTTTGAAATGTTGGCACTGAATTGTTGTTGAACTTCAAAAACTGTTATGTTCGTCACGATGGTTATGCTGGATTTTTAGTATTTGATTTAATAGTAGTAAAGACAAAAAAAATTGCTACAGACAATTGAGCTTCTCCGCGCGTATTACGGATATAAAAAATACTTTGAATCTTATTTGGAAGAAGGCTTGAATTTGTAGTACGTTTCCTGGCTTAATAACGAGGGTTTTTTGAAAAATCCTGAGATAAAAATGATGATAGCATCTTATAATCGATTCAATAACAATAACAAACGAACGCTAATGTTAACGGTATTCTCAGACACAAATGAATCAAACGATTTTGATTAAATCTATCCGACGTTTTGGCCATTCAAAGGAAAACTGAATTGACAAAATAGATACGATATTACAGTTCTAGGGTGCGTCTTACTTGGTGTATCGTTGTTGTCACGGTTTTAGTCGGAGTCTTGGTCAATTCAATATGTTTTTGTATCCTGTGATGTTGAGGTTACTTGTTTGCAACTTATTCCAGGCACAATCAAGCTGCAGCAACTTATTGTGATGGAAGTGTGCTTCTTGGGATATTGTAGTTAATTTTTACGATATAGGCGTAGTTGTACAATGAGATATACATTTTTGAAAATAACGATATGTTTCTTTGGAATTGCGGTAACGGTGGGTTATTCCACGCATTTGACAATCATGAAAATTACTCATGCAAGTGGTTAATACAAAGGTGTAAATATGTATAATTATGTCTTTTCTATGTTCTAAGCAACTATCAATAATATACAGATTTTTGAAGATAATTAAAAAGAAAACAAAAATAAATTGAAAGAGTGATGTTCCTTCATAGTATTTGCGATTTCTATTGTCAACAAACGTAAAGCCGTTGGAAATAAACCGAAGATTTTACCGTGTTAAATTGATCTGTAAACGGCGCCGGTGGTGTAGTGGTTAGCGTGATTACCTCTCACCCCAGCAGGCCTGGGTTCAATCCCAGTCGGCGCCGCCGGGATGTTCTGAGGCATAACATCTCTGATCACGCCTTCCTTCGGATGGGAAGTAAAGCCGTTAGTCCCCGGTTCATGAGTTGATGGGTCGATAGGTAGGGTCCAGGTTTGGGAGCTGCCTTCCTGGCACGTCGGTAGCATTGGTGCTCAGCACGGAAAACAAGATCGACGGAAAAAACAAACCAAAGGAAAAAAAAAAAGTTGATCTGTGTTTGCCGTGTTTTGTGTTATTGGGTGTGCGTTTGTGAAGTAGAAGATTTCATGTAGCTGGTGGACTAGTTGAGAATTTTTTAGTAAAAGTATCGTCCCGTTGATTCCGAATTTCGATATTAGTTTGTTTTCTTTATTTAACGTCGGTCTCTGTTCCGCAATCAAGTGCCAATCACCAACGGACATCGATTGCCATCCATTGACGTCAATCAAATATGCAGGAAAGCAGCTTCTTCACCTGCGTAGGATATCGCAGCCATTCAAACACATGAGCCGGTACCAACGGCTTAACTTCCCTTCCGAAGGAAGACGTGACCAGAGATTTTATACCTCAGAAAAATCCCACTGACCTTGGCTGGGATTGAACCCGGACCCATTGTGGTGAGGAAGCAGTCACGCTTACCACTACACCGCCGGCTAAGCTTACATTTATTAAAATATTTTATTTAAAATTAAAAAAATATTTTAAGCTAATCTCTCAAAATATTAATTTTATGAAATAAAAATAATAAACAAATAAAAATAAATTATTTTATAAAGTTTGTTTTGGTTTGTATCGTATCAGTGTCTCTAGCTGCACTTAATTTGACTAAAGCCCTACAGTAAAAGTATGGACATCTGTCAAAAGTTGTTCCAATCGAACCTTCAGAATGCACCGCTTTGTTCGATTGGAACAGCTTTTTTCAGTTTTGTGGTGACAGTCGTCCATACTTTTACTGTAGGGCTTTAAATTTGACCTACCGTACTTTTGCGTTCTCTGACTCGACGGTTATCTCGCCGTTTGATTGTCCCGATTCGCACATTGAAAATTCACTATCCAGCTTTTCATGCTCGGTAATGGCGGCCTGTTTGTATGAATAAATGTATCCTTCACTGTGCTATTTGACACTAACTGGAGGGCGTATGTTGTTCAATTGTCTTCTGTTCCTTGGAGAGGGAAAGAGAGGGGTCAAAATTCAAACCTCCAGGTAGTGTCAAAAAGCACAGTGAAGGATACATTTGTTCATATAAACAAACCGCCATTATCGAGTATGTAAAGCTGGATAGTTTCTCGACGCGTGATATTCTTTTTTCCGTGTAATGAGAAAACTAATTTGCTTCACTATTTTTTGCAATATGGCTTGCAAAAAACCGTTTTGGGCTCTGAACGCATTGTGGTGACACATTCCACGTGATCTGTGCCAAAGTTGAACTTCTCGATCAACTTGGGTTGTACCCAAATAACGTTTTCTGGATGTGCGGCGCTTTTTTCAAACGACTACGGTCGAAGAAAGTAACCAAAATCGCTCGAATTGGTTCGGCACATTGACAGCAGTATCAAGATACTTCCCTTTCGAGGACTGACGCAATGATGAGAGGACCTGAGATGCAAAAACACAGCGCTTTGGAAGCCTCTGACCCACCCGAAGCAGTCGAGCCTTTAAAAGATCTTATCAACCGAAGTCGTCCAGGCCCTGCTATCGGTAATGGCGACGAGGTCTTCCAGCCTATGCCCACAGGCAAGTATCGTAACATACGTAAACCTCCATCCTCTGAGCCACTTTACGCATAACTCTGGAACGCAACGATGTTAACTCCATGGAAGCCCTAATCAAACCACATTCGAGCTACACAATGGAGCACATTCGCTTCAACTTCTAGCTGTGTTTCTGGTTCAGTAGCCTCCGCATTATCCACATCATTTCTATGCATCCGGCCTGTCAACTGCCAGCAGGTTTATGCCACCACCTGCTCTTCCTCGGATCCGGGACACACTAAATCAGGCACTGAGGAAGCTTCCGAACCTCCCGACCCTGTCGCGCTTGCTGCAAACATCCGCCATCTTAATCGTCCCGGTCCTGTGGT